TCCTGAAGGAACAAATGGCGTATGAAACAATCGTTGGTCTCCGGCCACCATGGGAATGCATCTCCTCACGATGTTCCACTGCCTTGTGGATCAGACCTTCGAGTCGAAGGCCCCGGGTATGGCCCCCTAAGAAAACCACCTACTTCGGTTTGAGCACCCGGGCAGTATCACAGCCCTTACACATATTAAATGAGATCTGTGTGGCGCATATGTATTTGGTGCCTCCTTGTACCAGTATCTATGTGTTCAAATAAATAATAAATAAATAATAAACTGCAAAAAGGATAGACTGGATGTTTAGAGTGTGAATGTATCATTTCATACTAGCAAAATAATATCAAGAAATGGTCTGATAGCTTTATTATACTCCTTTAACTGCTAAGGTTCATTGAAACAGCTGAAATTTTATGCATATAGTTCCTTTCAATAAATTGAAAAGAGCTATTACGAAATGAATTTGTTTTATTTGAGATTCCAGAAGCTCCTTACAATCTATAAGAATTCATAATCAGACTTTTTCATAAAGAGATCAAAATCAAAGTATGATGTAGAATAATATGAATTCTACTCTGTTTCATTATGTACTTATCAGATGCTTACAACCTATAATATTGTAACATCAACGTTATTACAGATATTGATAAGCTCATAAATACGAAGGTGACTAGAGATGAATATATGTATCATGATGTAACGAAGATTTTAACAGAGTTAATAAGGTCATATTGTTTAGGATAAATAATTACTGCGAGAGGGAAAGTTCCAGAACATAGAACTAGTGATTAGAAATCGCAGAGTTAACAAACTTTAGATGGTTGTGTAATGATGTAACCGAAAACAGATTAATGATAATAAAGAAAGATATGCATTGAAATCAGTCAGTTAAGAATTAAAGAAAAATGATATTAATGTAATCAAATTTCAGAAAGAGTGAGAATAATGAATGATATAATAAAAAGGATGTAATTTTACCAGGACAAAGACAGATTTATTACTGCTTCTTTTTGGAAATAACAATCCGGTTTTAAACGTTTGATCACTATGGCTTCGGCGAATTTCGAAAGATTGAAGTTTGGTTGTTTATTAATTACTTTGGAAGACTTTAGTGTATCTACTTGATGTCCTGTCTCAAGATGTCTTGAGGTAGCACTGTTGAATGCTTTTATCTGCTTGACTTTGGGCTTTTTGGAATATGTTCTTTGAATCGGAGGTAGGCTCTCCTTTCTATTCTACCAATGTAACTGTTTTGGAAAATACATGTGAATTTGTATACACAGGTAGTGGTTACATGAAAGGGATACCTATCGATCCTTGATTATGTTGATAAACACGTTGTCTTGGACAAGACAATCAGTTTAACTTCAGGATGAGTTCTTCACAATTCAGTTCTTAGTGCTGTGTTGATTGACCCTGTAACATTCGTCGACTTCACATTTAAGTTGAATAAAAATAGCTTTTTGTTTACTGAGGTTTCTTTTTTTTATCTTTACATTTCCATATTTCTCAATAAATTTCAGCTGATATCTGCTGTTCTTTAAACAATTTTTCACATTCACTAGTTCCTCTCCTAGTGTATCTGCAGTACATATTATTTCTGTTCCGTGAAATAGTGTTTTAACCAGTGCCTTTTTGTAACAGTGTGAACAAAAGCTATTGAAATTGAGACAAATCTCATTCCATGTGTCTTTTCTATTAGCTGAACGTTGGACTGTGCCATTGTTTCTTCGTTTTATTGCGATATCGAGAAAATGGAACTTGTTTCCATTTTCATTTTCCATAGTAAACTGGATATTTGTATGAACTTTGTTGAGAAGTTTCTGTAGATTTGTTGAATGTTGTAGATTATTACAGACGATGTAGGTGTCATCAATGTACCTCGAATAAAACACCGTTTCACTAATCGCTCCTTTGAGCTAGTTCATTCGAAATTAGCCATGAAAGGTCTGCTAAAACAGGATCTAACGGAATTACCATTGTTACAACATCAGTTTGTCAGTATATGACATTACTGAACTGAAACTGAACATCTTTTGTAAACATGATTTACAGTCGTTTGAGTTCCAGTGCTGGTGGAGATAGAATGCCAGAATGCTGGCCAATTATGTCAATGGTTTCCGAATTTTGAATAAACTTCAACATACATATAAAGGTGATGCTGATTACTATTTATTGTTAGAATGTACGAGCATGGTGCAATAAACAATCAAATACAGTCAAAATAATCCTCTGATTAGTTTCTAATCAACTTGCAAAAGAAAAGCTTACATGAGAACGTGTCGAAAATGTATTTAAAAAATGGTAACGCAATGTTGTTGCAAAGTTTGCCAACAGCATAAAAGTTAGATAAAACGTGTTACCATTGATTTGAATAGAATCATAACAACTAAAATGTTTGTGTTGTATCGAATTTCACCTTTTCTTTTTACTATATTCATGGAAAACGGCAATACTAATACAAATGAGACACTTAAGTGTAAAATGAAAACAAAACCGACATTCTTGTGTCTAGGTGTTGTTTATGTGCTCCAAGAACCTCACGACTCAGCTAAAATTCATTGATTCCATTTGTCTTTTTGAAAATGTTGTTATTATTTTAGCTCCACGTTCTTTGGTCAAATGTGAAAAGCATACGTCCGATAATTCATTTGCTAATTCTTCATCAATTGTCTCAAACTTCATCGTTTCTTCATTTTCATAACTACTACGCTCTGTTCCTTTTCTCTTCGATTCGATCTTCCCAATCTTCTGCTGCTAGGCATCCCACTTCTCATAGATGTTATATACTACTTATATCGACATAAACAGAATGCACCACATTACTACATTATAAGACTACTTGAATAATAGCTTCATTTGAGTGAGGGCTCATATTGTGGTGTCCCAATTAAATGAATGGGGTTTGTAAGCTAACTCACATGCGAATTGACACTCCCATTAGGTGATGTGGTCGAATGGTTTGTAGTGAGCGAAAAAAACGGAAATCTCAACTTTCACAGATTCCTGCAAGTATTATCAAACACAACAGATTATCATAAATTATCTCCAAAGTATTCTATAACTTGATACATTATCTTGCAAACGTCTTTAGGAAAATACTGGTAGTTGTTATGACTTATGTGAGGATTATTGATTCGGATGTGTCTACCTTAATACTAATAGAAGCTAGCGAATCCTAATAAGCCACCACTGTTATTCACAGGATTATTCTATTCGTCTTGTTAAAATCAGCGTTAGACTAGTATCTAGACTAATTGTGTTTGCGTTGCCACGAAATTAGTCTATCAAGAGGTGAATAAGGAATGTTTAATTTAAAATAAAACTCTGTTGGTAGTTTATTAATCCGTTGTAAGTGTGAGATAAATTCATATTGGTAAGTTTCTGATAATCCAAAACGACCGCTACACCTTTTCGAAAGGATAAAGATTTTGAGTGTCAAAAAAGATGTTCAAAAAAGTTTAATGAACCAACTTCTGTTTGAAGTTTTTGATTCTCAGAATAAAACTCAGTTTTTAAAGTCTATGGAATATTGATTCCTGATGCTGAAGACTAGTCTCTACATTAGAACCAGTCATCAGACCAGCAACTGTTTAAATTTGTTCTTTGTTAATTTTAACAATTCGACAGTTAGTCAGTATGTATTCTAGAATAGTACATATTATCCTGATGTTGGGTTGTTGCACATAGTAAATTCGTCGTCTTCTTGTTGAGCTGAGACTGGCAAAATATCACTAGTTGAAAGTATGAGTCAACTATAAACTTGGCAGGCATTATTTAAGTTCGTGATTACTAACGATATCAGTTTCAATATTTAGTACTAATTGAACTATTTGTTTAGAGAGATAAATTTCTTCTAAAGTAGAAGTACGGATAAATACTAAATGTTTGTTTATTCTCTTAATCTTATACTTAAATATCTAGAAAACATTAGGTAGAATGAAGTAAATACTCAATGAAAAATCTGAAATCATTGAAGTACTTTGTGCAGTTTCAATGACCCAGGACTTATTAGTCTACCCACAAAACCACTTTTGATACAAACAAATAAATTATTATTATAGATGTGAACTAAACAACTAAGATATTAATAATGTTAAATGTATCATTATCACTATACATCTATACAGCTATATTAAAAAATTCGAGTTGAAAATTAATGAATAAAAGACTAGATATAAACTGGAAATATACTTCGATTGAATTGATATCAGTAAGTAACTTAACAGAAGAATCATCATCAAAACACGAATGAACAGAATCACGACAAAGGAAGTCATCATCAGTGAAATTAGGAATTCTTATATTGTCCCTTAAATCTCCTGGCATGGCCAATATTGGGAATAGTCCGCTCTCCCTCCCGAAATACTCTCACATGGCCAAGCGTATACAACCACTGACTGGGAAATCCTACTAACTGCTTTCTCTTGCCGAATGTTTAGTCTAAGAAATTTAGAGAACAAAAAGTGAATGCCCAACGCTTTAACCGGGTTCGTGGACACGGAGGATCCATCTAAGCGAGTTAGAAAACCGTAATTCACAACCAATAGTACACATGGTTTCCAGTATCCTGAGGGAATAAATGGTGTATGAACCTATTGTTGGTCACTGGCTACCATGGAACTGCATTTCCTGATGTTGCTTCACTGCCTTGTGGATAAGGCATTTAGATTGAAGACTCCACGTTTGGCCCCCTAAGAAAATCACCTAGACCTCACATAAATCGAATAACTTTTATGGCTCATATCTAATTTTACATGAATAAAATATTGATTTATTTGTCATAATTAAATAAAGAGAACCAATTGAATGAAACAATTCAATTATTTGAACTGCACTTGATAATTGTACAATTTCAAGTAAACCGTTCAAAAGAAAACACTTTGTAACCATCATTAATTCTTCAAAATAGATTAGAAAGAGAACAAAAAATAAACAACCAAGGTGGAAATTTCCAAATGAAAAATAGATTGTAATTAAACATTCAAGAAATAAGACAATCCATCTTAATATTGAAAATATTTATCACATAATTGTTTCACAAAAATATTGATATGACAATTTTCTGTATTACATGAATAAAGGTGTTGACAACATTTAAATAATCTTAATATTATTACTTTGTTATAATCATAGAAAGGAATATAATTCTCCAATGAATGACAATCATTCTCGTGAACAGGATGACATTTGTTGTAATTATCACCATATGAATTGACAAAAACAGGTAATTTAGAAGAAGAATAATAATCAAATTGAGAATCATACGAAACGGGATAATTCGAAGAATCATAGTTGAAATTAGGAAAATCAATATCAGGAGTAAGCAAATCAGAATCAGAAATATTGGGAACAATAGAAAGATCATCATTTGATGAAAAAATATCGCCAGATGAACCATGAGAAAATCCATCATCTGAATAAAAACCAGAAGTAAACATTAAGGACGCAGATAGATTAAAGCCGTGTGGGAGAGAGGTAACAAATGGAACAGGTTGTAATGTTGATGATGGTTGTAGGTATTGTGTTGTAATGAGTGGTGTTTGAGTGGTGGTCGATGTGGATTGTGTGGTGGACTGATTGTAGACTGGTGGGACTGCAGTGACAACTGGAACTGGTTGTAATGTTGATGATGGTTGGACGTATTTTGTTGTATAGATTGAAGATTCAGTGTTCGTCAATATTCCATTAATGCTATATTCAGCGTCGCTTGATTTGTTGGACGTGACAATTGGAACTGGTTGTAATGTTGATGATGGTTGTAGGTATTGTGTTGTAATGAGTGGTGTTTGAGTGGTGGTCGATGTGGATTGTGTGGTGGACTGATTGTAGACTGGTGGGACTGCAGTGACAACTGGAACTGGTTGTAATGTTGATGATGGTTGGACGTATTTTGTTGTATAGATTGAAGATTCAGTGTTCGTCAATATTCCATTAATGCTATATTCAGCGTCGCTTGATTTGTTGGACGTGACAATTGGAACTGGTTGTAATGTTGATGATGGTTGTAGGTATTGTGTTGTAATAAGTGGTGTTTGAGTGGTGGTCGATGTGGATTGTGTGGTGGACTGATTGTAGACTGGTGGGACTGCAGTGACAACTGGAACTGGTTGTAATGTTGATGATGGTTGGACGTATTTTGTTGTATAGATTGAAGATTCAGTGTTCGTCAATATTCCATTAATGCTATATTCAGCGTCGCTTGATTTGTTGGACGTGACAATTGGAACTGGTTGTAATGTTGATGATGGTTGTAGGTATTGTGTTGTAATGAGTGGTGTTTGAGTGGTGGTCGATGTGGATTGTGTGGTGGACTGATTGTAGACTGGTGGGACTGCAGTGACAACTGGAACTGGTTGTAATGTTGATGATGGTTGGACGTATTTTGTTGTATAGATTGAAGATTCAGTGTTCGTCAATATTCCATTAATGCTATATTCAGCGTCGCTTGATTTGTTGGACGTGACAATTGGAACTGGTTGTAATGTTGATGATGGTTGTAGGTATTGTGTTGTAATGAGTGGTGTTTGAGTGGTGGTCGATGTGGATTGTGTGGTGGACTGATTGTAGACTGGTGGGACTGCAGTGACAACTGGAACTGGTTGTAATGTTGATGATGGTTGGACGTATTTTGTTGTATAGATTGAAGATTCAGTGTTCGTCAATATTCCATTAATGCTATATTCAGCGTCGCTTGATTTGTTGGACGTGACAATTGGAACTGGTTGTAATGTTGATGATGGTTGTAGGTATTGTGTTGTAATGAGTGGTGTTTGAGTGGTGGTCGATGTGGATTGTGTGGTGGACTGATTGTAGACTGGTGGGACTGCAGTGACAACTGGAACTGGTTGTAATGTTGATGATGGTTGGACGTATTTTGTTGTATAGATTGAAGATTCAGTGTTCGTCAATATTCCATTAATGCTATATTCAGCGTCGCTTGATTTGTTGGACGTGACAATTGGAACTGGTTGTAATGTTGATGATGGTTGTAGGTATTGTGTTGTAATGAGTGGTGTTTGAGTGGTGGTCGATGTGGATTGTGTGGTGGACTGATTGTAGACTGGTGGGACTGCAGTGACAACTGGAACTGGTTGTAATGTTGATGATGGTTGGACGTATTTTGTTGTATAGATTGAAGATTCAGTGTTCGTCAATATTCCATTAATGCTATATTCAGCGTCGCTTGATTTGTTGGACGTGACAATTGGAACTGGTTGTAATGTTGATGATGGTTGTAGGTATTGTGTTGTAATGAGTGGTGTTTGAGTGGTGGTCGATGTGGATTGTGTGGTGGACTGATTGTAGACTGGTGGGACTGCAGTGACAACTGGAACTGGTTGTAATGTTGATGATGGTTGGACGTATTTTGTTGTATAGATTGAAGATTCAGTGTTCGTCAATATTCCATTAATGCTATATTCAGCGTCGCTTGATTTGTTGGACGTGACAATTGGAACTGGTTGTAATGTTGATGATGGTTGTAGGTATTGTGTTGTAATGAGTGGTGTTTGAGTGGTGGTCGATGTGGATTGTGTGGTGGACTGATTGTAGACTGGTGGGACTGCAGTGACAACTGGAACTGGTTGTAATGTTGATGATGGTTGGACGTATTTTGTTGTATAGATTGAAGATTCAGTGTTCGTCAATATTCCATTAATGCTATATTCAGCGTCGCTTGATTTGTTGGACGTGACAATTGGAACTGGTTGTAATGTTGATGATGGTTGTAGGTATTGTGTTGTAATGAGTGGTGTTTGAGTGGTGGTCGATGTGGATTGTGTGGTGGACTGATTGTAGACTGGTGGGACTGCAGTGACAACTGGAACTGGTTGTAATGTTGATGATGGTTGGACGTATTTTGTTGTATAGATTGAAGATTCAGTGTTCGTCAATATTCCATTAATGCTATATTCAGCGTCGCTTGATTTGTTGGACGTGACAATTGGAACTGGTTGTAATGTTGATGATGGTTGTAGGTATTGTGTTGTAATGAGTGGTGTTTGAGTGGTGGTCGATGTGGATTGTGTGGTGGACTGATTGTAGACTGGTGGGACTGCAGTGACAACTGGAACTGGTTGTAATGTTGATGATGGTTGGACGTATTTTGTTGTATAGATTGAAGATTCAGTGTTCGTCAATATTCCATTAATGCTATATTCAGCGTCGCTTGATTTGTTGGACGTGACAATTGGAACTGGTTGTAATGTTGATGATGGTTGTAGGTATTGTGTTGTAATGAGTGGTGTTTGAGTGGTGGTCGATGTGGATTGTGTGGTGGACTGATTGTAGACTGGTGGGACTGCAGTGACAACTGGAACTGGTTGTAATGTTGATGATGGTTGGACGTATTTTGTTGTATAGATTGAAGATTCAGTGTTCGTCAATATTCCATTAATGCTATATTCAGCGTCGCTTGATTTGTTGGACGTGACAATTGGAACTGGTTGTAATGTTGATGATGGTTGTAGGTATTGTGTTGTAATGAGTGGTGTTTGAGTGGTGGTCGATGTGGATTGTGTGGTGGACTGATTGTAGACTGGTGGGACTGCAGTGACAACTGGAACTGGTTGTAATGTTGATGATGGTTGGACGTATTTTGTTGTATAGATTGAAGATTCAGTGTTCGTCAATATTCCATTAATGCTATATTCAGCGTCGCTTGATTTGTTGGACGTGACAATTGGAACTGGTTGTAATGTTGATGATGGTTGTAGGTATTGTGTTGTAATGAGTGGTGTTTGAGTGGTGGTCGATGTGGATTGTGTGGTGGACTGATTGTAGACTGGTGGGACTGCAGTGACAACTGGAACTGGTTGTAATGTTGATGATGGTTGGACGTATTTTGTTGTATAGATTGAAGATTCAGTGTTCGTCAATATTCCATTAATGCTATATTCAGCGTCGCTTGATTTGTTGGACGTGACAATTGGAACTGGTTGTAATGTTGATGATGGTTGTAGGTATTGTGTTGTAATGAGTGGTGTTTGAGTGGTGGTCGATGTGGATTGTGTGGTGGACTGATTGTAGACTGGTGGGACTGCAGTGACAACTGGAACTGGTTGTAATGTTGATGATGGTTGGACGTATTTTGTTGTATAGATTGAAGATTCAGTGTTCGTCAATATTCCATTAATGCTATATTCAGCGTCGCTTGATTTGTTGGACGTGACAATTGGAACTGGTTGTAATGTTGATGATGGTTGTAGGTATTGTGTTGTAATGAGTGGTGTTTGAGTGGTGGTCGATGTGGATTGTGTGGTGGACTGATTGTAGACTGGTGGGACTGCAGTGACAACTGGAACTGGTTGTAATGTTGATGATGGTTGGACGTATTTTGTTGTATAGATTGAAGATTCAGTGTTCGTCAATATTCCATTAATGCTATATTCAGCGTCGCTTGATTTGTTGGACGTGACAATTGGAACTGGTTGTAATGTTGATGATGGTTGTAGGTATTGTGTTGTAATGAGTGGTGTTTGAGTGGTGGTCGATGTGGATTGTGTGGTGGACTGATTGTAGACTGGTGGGACTGCAGTGACAACTGGAACTGGTTGTAATGTTGATGATGGTTGGACGTATTTTGTTGTATAGATTGAAGATTCAGTGTTCGTCAATATTCCATTAATGCTATATTCAGCGTCGCTTGATTTGTTGGACGTGACAATTGGAACTGGTTGTAATGTTGATGATGGTTGTAGGTATTGTGTTGTAATGAGTGGTGTTTGAGTGGTGGTCGATGTGGATTGTGTGGTGGACTGATTGTAGACTGGTGGGACTGCAGTGACAACTGGAACTGGTTGTAATGTTGATGATGGTTGGACGTATTTTGTTGTATAGATTGAAGATTCAGTGTTCGTCAATATTCCATTAATGCTATATTCAGCGTCGCTTGATTTGTTGGACGTGACAATTGGAACTGGTTGTAATGTTGATGATGGTTGTAGGTATTGTGTTGTAATGAGTGGTGTTTGAGTGGTGGTCGATGTGGATTGTGTGGTGGACTGATTGTAGACTGGTGGGACTGCAGTGACAACTGGAACTGGTTGTAATGTTGATGATGGTTGGACGTATTTTGTTGTATAGATTGAAGATTCAGTGTTCGTCAATATTCCATTAATGCTATATTCAGCGTCGCTTGATTTGTTGGACGTGACAATTGGAACTGGTTGTAATGTTGATGATGGTTGTAGGTATTGTGTTGTAATGAGTGGTGTTTGAGTGGTGGTCGATGTGGATTGTGTGGTGGACTGATTGTAGACTGGTGGGACTGCAGTGACAACTGGAACTGGTTGTAATGTTGATGATGGTTGGACGTATTTTGTTGTATAGATTGAAGATTCAGTGTTCGTCAATATTCCATTAATGCTATATTCAGCGTCGCTTGATTTGTTGGACGTGACAATTGGAACTGGTTGTAATGTTGATGATGGTTGTAGGTATTGTGTTGTAATGAGTGGTGTTTGAGTGGTGGTCGATGTGGATTGTGTGGTGGACTGATTGTAGACTGGTGGGACTGCAGTGACAACTGGAACTGGTTGTAATGTTGATGATGGTTGGACGTATTTTGTTGTATAGATTGAAGATTCAGTGTTCGTCAATATTCCATTAATGCTATATTCAGCGTCGCTTGATTTGTTGGACGTGACAATTGGAACTGGTTGTAATGTTGATGATGGTTGTAGGTATTGTGTTGTAATGAGTGGTGTTTGAGTGGTGGTCGATGTGGATTGTGTGGTGGACTGATTGTAGACTGGTGGGACTGCAGTGACAACTGGAACTGGTTGTAATGTTGATGATGGTTGGACGTATTTTGTTGTATAGATTGAAGATTCAGTGTTCGTCAATATTCCATTAATGCTATATTCAGCGTCGCTTGATTTGTTGGACGTGACAATTGGAACTGGTTGTAATGTTGATGATGGTTGTAGGTATTGTGTTGTAATGAGTGGTGTTTGAGTGGTGGTCGATGTGGATTGTGTGGTGGACTGATTGTAGACTGGTGGGACTGCAGTGACAACTGGAACTGGTTGTAATGTTGATGATGGTTGGACGTATTTTGTTGTATAGATTGAAGATTCAGTGTTCGTCAATATTCCATTAATGCTATATTCAGCGTCGCTTGATTTGTTGGACGTGACAATTGGAACTGGTTGTAATGTTGATGATGGTTGTAGGTATTGTGTTGTAATGAGTGGTGTTTGAGTGGTGGTCGATGTGGATTGTGTGGTGGACTGATTGTAGACTGGTGGGACTGCAGTGACAACTGGAACTGGTTGTAATGTTGATGATGGTTGGACGTATTTTGTTGTATAGATTGAAGATTCAGTGTTCGTCAATATTCCATTAATGCTATATTCAGCGTCGCTTGATTTGTTGGACGTGACAATTGGAACTGGTTGTAATGTTGATGATGGTTGTAGGTATTGTGTTGTAATGAGTGGTGTTTGAGTGGTGGTCGATGTGGATTGTGTGGTGGACTGATTGTAGACTGGTGGGACTGCAGTGACAACTGGAACTGGTTGTAATGTTGATGATGGTTGGACGTATTTTGTTGTATAGATTGAAGATTCAGTGTTCGTCAATATTCCATTAATGCTATATTCAGCGTCGCTTGATTTGTTGGACGTGACAATTGGAACTGGTTGTAATGTTGATGATGGTTGTAGGTATTGTGTTGTAATGAGTGGTGTTTGAGTGGTGGTCGATGTGGATTGTGTGGTGGACTGATTGTAGACTGGTGGGACTGCAGTGACAACTGGAACTGGTTGTAATGTTGATGATGGTTGGACGTATTTTGTTGTATAGATTGAAGATTCAGTGTTCGTCAATATTCCATTAATGCTATATTCAGCGTCGCTTGATTTGTTGGACGTGACAATTGGAACTGGTTGTAATGTTGATGATGGTTGTAGGTATTGTGTTGTAATGAGTGGTGTTTGAGTGGTGGTCGATGTGGATTGTGTGGTGGACTGATTGTAGACTGGTGGGACTGCAGTGACAACTGGAACTGGTTGTAATGTTGATGATGGTTGGACGTATTTTGTTGTATAGATTGAAGATTCAGTGTTCGTCAATATTCCATTAATGCTATATTCAGCGTCGCTTGATTTGTTGGACGTGACAATTGGAACTGGTTGTAATGTTGATGATGGTTGTAGGTATTGTGTTGTAATGAGTGGTGTTTGAGTGGTGGTCGATGTGGATTGTGTGGTGGACTGATTGTAGACTGGTGGGACTGCAGTGACAACTGGAACTGGTTGTAATGTTGATGATGGTTGGACGTATTTTGTTGTATAGATTGAAGATTCAGTGTTCGTCAATATTCCATTAATGCTATATTCAGCGTCGCTTGATTTGTTGGACGTGACAATTGGAACTGGTTGTAATGTTGATGATGGTTGTAGGTATTGTGTTGTAATGAGTGGTGTTTGAGTGGTGGTCGATGTGGATTGTGTGGTGGACTGATTGTAGACTGGTGGGACTGCAGTGACAACTGGAACTGGTTGTAATGTTGATGATGGTTGGACGTATTTTGTTGTATAGATTGAAGATTCAGTGTTCGTCAATATTCCATTAATGCTATATTCAGCGTCGCTTGATTTGTTGGACGTGACAATTGGAACTGGTTGTAATGTTGATGATGGTTGTAGGTATTGTGTTGTAATGAGTGGTGTTTGAGTGGTGGTCGATGTGGATTGTGTGGTGGACTGATTGTAGACTGGTGGGACTGCAGTGACAACTGGAACTGGTTGTAATGTTGATGATGGTTGGACGTATTTTGTTGTATAGATTGAAGATTCAGTGTTCGTCAATATTCCATTAATGCTATATTCAGCGTCGCTTGATTTGTTGGACGTGACAATTGGAACTGGTTGTAATGTTGATGATGGTTGTAGGTATTGTGTTGTAATGAGTGGTGTTTGAGTGGTGGTCGATGTGGATTGTGTGGTGGACTGATTGTAGACTGGTGGGACTGCAGTGACAACTGGAACTGGTTGTAATGTTGATGATGGTTGGACGTATTTTGTTGTATAGATTGAAGATTCAGTGTTCGTCAATATTCCATTAATGCTATATTCAGCGTCGCTTGATTTGTTGGACGTGACAATTGGAACTGGTTGTAATGTTGATGATGGTTGTAGGTATTGTGTTGTAATGAGTGGTGTTTGAGTGGTGGTCGATGTGGATTGTGTGGTGGACTGATTGTAGACTGGTGGGACTGCAGTGACAACTGGAACTGGTTGTAATGTTGATGATGGTTGGACGTATTTTGTTGTATAGATTGAAGATTCAGTGTTCGTCAATATTCCATTAATGCTATATTCAGCGTCGCTTGATTTGTTGGACGTGACAATTGGAACTGGTTGTAATGTTGATGATGGTTGTAGGTATTGTGTTGTAATGAGTGGTGTTTGAGTGGTGGTCGATGTGGATTGTGTGGTGGACTGATTGTAGACTGGTGGGACTGCAGTGACAACTGGAACTGGTTGTAATGTTGATGATGGTTGGACGTATTTTGTTGTATAGATTGAAGATTCAGTGTTCGTCAATATTCCATTAATGCTATATTCAGCGTCGCTTGATTTGTTGGACGTGACAATTGGAACTGGTTGTAATGTTGATGATGGTTGTAGGTATTGTGTTGTAATGAGTGGTGTTTGAGTGGTGGTCGATGTGGATTGTGTGGTGGACTGATTGTAGACTGGTGGGACTGCAGTGACAACTGGAACTGGTTGTAATGTTGATGATGGTTGGACGTATTTTGTTGTATAGATTGAAGATTCAGTGTTCGTCAATATTCCATTAATGCTATATTCAGCGTCGCTTGATTTGTTGGACGTGACAATTGGAACTGGTTGTAATGTTGATGATGGTTGTAGGTATTGTGTTGTAATGAGTGGTGTTTGAGTGGTGGTCGATGTGGATTGTGTGGTGGACTGATTGTAGACTGGTGGGACTGCAGTGACAACTGGAACTGGTTGTAATGTTGATGATGGTTGGACGTATTTTGTTGTATAGATTGAAGATTCAGTGTTCGTCAATATTCCATTAATGCTATATTCAGCGTCGCTTGATTTGTTGGACGTGACAATTGGAACTGGTTGTAATGTTGATGATGGTTGTAGGTATTGTGTTGTAATGAGTGGTGTTTGAGTGGTGGTCGATGTGGATTGTGTGGTGGACTGATTGTAGACTGGTGGGACTGCAGTGACAACTGGAACTGGTTGTAATGTTGATGATGGTTGGACGTATTTTGTTGTATAGATTGAAGATTCAGTGTTCGTCAATATTCCATTAATGCTATATTCAGCGTCGCTTGATTTGTTGGACGTGACAATTGGAACTGGTTGTAATGTTGATGATGGTTGTAGGTATTGTGTTGTAATGAGTGGTGTTTGAGTGGTGGTCGATGTGGATTGTGTGGTGGACTGATTGTAGACTGGTGGGACTGCAGTGACAACTGGAACTGGTTGTAATGTTGATGATGGTTGGACGTATTTTGTTGTATAGATTGAAGATTCAGTGTTCGTCAATATTCCATTAATGCTATATTCAGCGTCGCTTGATTTGTTGGACGTGACAATTGGAACTGGTTGTAATGTTGATGATGGTTGTAGGTATTGTGTTGTAATGAGTGGTGTTTGAGTGGTGGTCGATGTGGATTGTGTGGTGGACTGATTGTAGACTGGTGGGACTGCAGTGACAACTGGAACTGGTTGTAATGTTGATGATGGTTGGACGTATTTTGTTGTATAGATTGAAGATTCAGTGTTCGTCAATATTCCATTAATGCTATATTCAGCGTCGCTTGATTTGTTGGACGTGACAATTGGAACTGGTTGTAATGTTGATGATGGTTGTAGGTATTGTGTTGTAATGAGTGGTGTTTGAGTGGTGGTCGATGTGGATTGTGTGGTGGACTGATTGTAGACTGGTGGGACTGCAGTGACAACTGGAACTGGTTGTAATGTTGATGATGGTTGGACGTATTTTGTTGTATAGATTGAAGATTCAGTGTTCGTCAATATTCCATTAATGCTATATTCAGCGTCGCTTGATTTGTTGGACGTGACAATTGGAACTGGTTGTAATGTTGATGATGGTTGTAGGTATTGTGTTGTAATGAGTGGTGTTTGAGTGGTGGTCGATGTGGATTGTGTGGTGGACTGATTGTAGACTGGTGGGACTGCAGTGACAACTGGAACTGGTTGTAATGTTGATGATGGTTGGACGTATTTTGTTGTATAGATTGAAGATTCAGTGTTCGTCAATATTCCATTAATGCTATATTCAGCGTCGCTTGATTTGTTGGACGTGACAATTGGAACTGGTTGTAATGTTGATGATGGTTGTAGGTATTGTGTTGTAATGAGTGGTGTTTGAGTGGTGGTCGATGTGGATTGTGTGGTGGACTGATTGTAGACTGGTGGGACTGCAGTGACAACTGGAACTGGTTGTAATGTTGATGATGGTTGGACGTATTTTGTTGTATAGATTGAAGATTCAGTGTTCGTCAATATTCCATTAATGCTATATTCAGCGTCGCTTGATTTGTTGGACGTGACAATTGGAACTGGTTGTAATGTTGATGATGGTTGTAGGTATTGTGTTGTAATGAGTGGTGTTTGAGTGGTGGTCGATGTGGATTGTGTGGTGGACTGATTGTAGACTGGTGGGACTGCAGTGACAACTGGAACTGGTTGTAATGTTGATGATGGTTGGACGTATTTTGTTGTATAGATTGAAGATTCAGTGTTCGTCAATATTCCATTAATGCTATATTCAGCGTCGCTTGATTTGTTGGACGTGACAATTGGAACTGGTTGTAATGTTGATGATGGTTGTAGGTATTGTGTTGTAATGAGTGGTGTTTGAGTGGTGGTCGATGTGGATTGTGTGGTGGACTGATTGTAGACTGGTGGGACTGCAGTGACAACTGGAACTGGTTGTAATGTTGATGATGGTTGGACGTATTTTGTTGTATAGATTGAAGATTCAGTGTTCGTCAATATTCCATTAATGCTATATTCAGCGTCGCTTGATTTGTTGGACGTGACAATTGGAACTGGTTGTAATGTTGATGATGGTTGTAGGTATTGTGTTGTAATGAGTGGTGTTTGAGTGGTGGTCGATGTGGATTGTGTGGTGGACTGATTGTAGACTGGTGGGACTGCAGTGACAACTGGAACTGGTTGTAATGTTGATGATGGTTGGACGTATTTTGTTGTATAGATTGAAGATTCAGTGTTCGTCAATATTCCATTAATGCTATATTCAGCGTCGCTTGATTTGTTGGACGTGACAATTGGAACTGGTTGTAATGTTGATGATGGTTGTAGGTATTGTGTTGTAATGAGTGGTGTTTGAGTGGTGGTCGATGTGGATTGTGTGGTGGACTGATTGTAGACTGGTGGGACTGCAGTGACAACTGGAACTGGTTGTAATGTTGATGATGGTTGGACGTATTTTGTTGTATAGATTGAAGATTCAGTGTTCGTCAATATTCCATTAATGCTATATTCAGCGTCGCTTGATTTGTTGGACGTGACAATTGGAACTGGTTGTAATGTTGATGATGGTTGTAGGTATTGTGTTGTAATGAGTGGTGTTTGAGTGGTGGTCGATGTGGATTGTGTGGTGGACTGATTGTAGACTGGTGGGACTGCAGTGACAACTGGAACTGGTTGTAATGTTGATGATGGTTGGACGTATTTTGTTGTATAGATTGAAGATTCAGTGTTCGTCAATATTCCATTAATGCTATATTCAGCGTCGCTTGATTTGTTGGACGTGACAATTGGAACTGGTTGTAATGTTGATGATGGTTGTAGGTATTGTGTTGTAATGAGTGGTGTTTGAGTGGTGGTCGATGTGGATTGTGTGGTGGACTGATTGTAGACTGGTGGGACTGCAGTGACAACTGGAACTGGTTGTAATGTTGATGATGGTTGGACGTATTTTGTTGTATAGATTGAAGATTCAGTGTTCGTCAATATTCCATTAATGCTATATTCAGCGTCGCTTGATTTGTTGGACGTGACAATTGGAACTGGTTGTAATGTTGATGATGGTTGTAGGTATTGTGTTGTAATGAGTGGTGTTTGAGTGGTGGTCGATGTGGATTGTGTGGTGGACTGATTGTAGACTGGTGGGACTGCAGTGACAACTGGAACTGGTTGTAATGTTGATGATGGTTGGACGTATTTTGTTGTATAGATTGAAGATTCAGTGTTCGTCAATATTCCATTAATGCTATATTCAGCGTCGCTTGATTTGTTGGACGTGACAATTGGAACTGGTTGTAATGTTGATGATGGTTGTAGGTATTGTGTTGTAATGAGTGGTGTTTGAGTGGTGGTCGATGTGGATTGTGTGGTGGACTGATTGTAGACTGGTGGGACTGCAGTGACAACTGGAACTGGTTGTAATGTTGATGATGGTTGGACGTATTTTGTTGTATAGATTGAAGATTCAGTGTTCGTCAATATTCCATTAATGCTATATTCAGCGTCGCTTGATTTGTTGGACGTGACAATTGGAACTGGTTGTAATGTTGATGATGGTTGTAGGTATTGTGTTGTAATGAGTGGTGTTTGAGTGGTGGTCGATGTGGATTGTGTGGTGGACTGATTGTAGACTGGTGGGACTGCAGTGACAACTGGAACTGGTTGTAATGTTGATGATGGTTGGACGTATTTTGTTGTATAGATTGAAGATTCAGTGTTCGTCAATATTCCATTAATGCTATATTCAGCGTCGCTTGATTTGTTGGACGTGACAATTGGAACTGGTTGTAATGTTGATGATGGTTGTAGGTATTGTGTTGTAATGAGTGGTGTTTGAGTGGTGGTCGATGTGGATTGTGTGGTGGACTGATTGTAGACTGGTGGGACTGCAGTGACAACTGGAACTGGTTGTAATGTTGATGATGGTTGGACGTATTTTGTTGTATAGATTGAAGATTCAGTGTTCGTCAATATTCCATTAATGCTATATTCAGCGTCGCTTGATTTGTTGGACGTGACAATTGGAACTGGTTGTAATGTTGATGATGGTTGTAGGTATTGTGTTGTAATGAGTGGTGTTTGAGTGGTGGTCGATGTGGATTGTGTGGTGGACTGATTGTAGACTGGTGGGACTGCAGTGACAACTGGAACTGGTTGTAATGTTGATGATGGTTGGACGTATTTTGTTGTATAGATTGAAGATTCAGTGTTCGTCAATATTCCATTAATGCTATATTCAGCGTCGCTTGATTTGTTGGACGTGACAATTGGAACTGGTTGTAATGTTGATGATGGTTGTAGGTATTGTGTTGTAATGAGTGGTGTTTGAGTGGTGGTCGATGTGGATTGTGTGGTGGACTGATTGTAGACTGGTGGGACTGCAGTGACAACTGGAACTGGTTGTAATGTTGATGATGGTTGGACGTATTTTGTTGTATAGATTGAAGATTCAGTGTTCGTCAATATTCCATTAATGCTATATTCAGCGTCGCTTGATTTGTTGGACGTGACAATTGGAACTGGTTGTAATGTTGATGATGGTTGTAGGTATTGTGTTGTAATGAGTGGTGTTTGAGTGGTGGTCGATGTGGATTGTGTGGTGGACTGATTGTAGACTGGTGGGACTGCAGTGACAACTGGAACTGGTTGTAATGTTGATGATGGTTGGACGTATTTTGTTGTATAGATTGAAGATTCAGTGTTCGTCAATATTCCATTAATGCTATATTCAGCGTCGCTTGATTTGTTGGACGTGACAATTGGAACTGGTTGTAATGTTGATGATGGTTGTAGGTATTGTGTTGTAATGAGTGGTGTTTGAGTGGTGGTCGATGTGGATTGTGTGGTGGACTGATTGTAGACTGGTGGGACTGCAGTGACAACTGGAACTGGTTGTAATGTTGATGATGGTTGGACGTATTTTGTTGTATAGATTGAAGATTCAGTGTTCGTCAATATTCCATTAATGCTATATTCAGCGTCGCTTGATTTGTTGGACGTGACAATTGGAACTGGTTGTAATGTTGATGATGGTTGTAGGTATTGTGTTGTAATGAGTGGTGTTTGAGTGGTGGTCGATGTGGATTGTGTGGTGGACTGATTGTAGACTGGTGGGACTGCAGTGACAACTGGAACTGGTTGTAATGTTGATGATGGTTGGACGTATTTTGTTGTATAGATTGAAGATTCAGTGTTCGTCAATATTCCATTAATGCTATATTCAGCGTCGCTTGATTTGTTGGACGTGACAATTGGAACTGGTTGTAATGTTGATGATGGTTGTAGGTATTGTGTTGTAATGAGTGGTGTTTGAGTGGTGGTCGATGTGGATTGTGTGGTGGACTGATTGTAGACTGGTGGGACTGCAGTGACAACTGGAACTGGTTGTAATGTTGATGATGGTTGGACGTATTTTGTTGTATAGATTGAAGATTCAGTGTTCGTCAATATTCCATTAATGCTATATTCAGCGTCGCTTGATTTGTTGGACGTGACAATTGGAACTGGTTGTAATGTTGATGATGGTTGTAGGTATTGTGTTGTAATGAGTGGTGTTTGAGTGGTGGTCGATGTGGATTGTGTGGTGGACTGATTGTAGACTGGTGGGACTGCAGTGACAACTGGAACTGGTTGTAATGTTGATGATGGTTGGACGTATTTTGTTGTATAGATTGAAGATTCAGTGTTCGTCAATATTCCATTAATGCTATATTCAGCGTCGCTTGATTTGTTGGACGTGACAATTGGAACTGGTTGTAATGTTGATGATGGTTGTAGGTATTGTGTTGTAATGAGTGGTGTTTGAGTGGTGGTCGATGTGGATTGTGTGGTGGACTGATTGTAGACTGGTGGGACTGCAGTGACAACTGGAACTGGTTGTAATGTTGATGATGGTTGGACGTATTTTGTTGTATAGATTGAAGATTCAGTGTTCGTCAATATTCCATTAATGCTATATTCAGCGTCGCTTGATTTGTTGGACGTGACAATTGGAACTGGTTGTAATGTTGATGATGGTTGTAGGTATTGTGTTGTAATGAGTGGTGTTTGAGTGGTGGTCGATGTGGATTGTGTGGTGGACTGATTGTAGACTGGTGGGACTGCAGTGACAACTGGAACTGGTTGTAATGTTGATGATGGTTGGACGTATTTTGTTGTATAGATTGAAGATTCAGTGTTCGTCAATATTCCATTAATGCTATATTCAGCGTCGCTTGATTTGTTGGACGTGACAATTGGAACTGGTTGTAATGTTGATGATGGTTGTAGGTATTGTGTTGTAATGAGTGGTGTTTGAGTGGTGGTCGATGTGGATTGTGTGGTGGACTGATTGTAGACTGGTGGGACTGCAGTGACAACTGGAACTGGTTGTAATGTTGATGATGGTTGGACGTATTTTGTTGTATAGATTGAAGATTCAGTGTTCGTCAATATTCCATTAATGCTATATTCAGCGTCGCTTGATTTGTTGGACGTGACAATTGGAACTGGTTGTAATGTTGATGATGGTTGTAGGTATTGTGTTGTAATGAGTGGTGTTTGAGTGGTGGTCGATGTGGATTGTGTGGTGGACTGATTGTAGACTGGTGGGACTGCAGTGACAACTGGAACTGGTTGTAATGTTGATGATGGTTGGACGTATTTTGTTGTATAGATTGAAGATTCAGTGTTCGTCAATATTCCATTAATGCTATATTCAGCGTCGCTTGATTTGTTGGACGTGACAATTGGAACTGGTTGTAATGTTGATGATGGTTGTAGGTATTGTGTTGTAATGAGTGGTGTTTGAGTGGTGGTCGATGTGGATTGTGTGGTGGACTGATTGTAGACTGGTGGGACTGCAGTGACAACTGGAACTGGTTGTAATGTTGATGATGGTTGGACGTATTTTGTTGTATAGATTGAAGATTCAGTGTTCGTCAATATTCCATTAATGCTATATTCAGCGTCGCTTGATTTGTTGGACGTGACAATTGGAACTGGTTGTAATGTTGATGATGGTTGTAGGTATTGTGTTGTAATGAGTGGTGTTTGAGTGGTGGTCGATGTGGATTGTGTGGTGGACTGATTGTAGACTGGTGGGACTGCAGTGACAACTGGAACTGGTTGTAATGTTGATGATGGTTGGACGTATTTTGTTGTATAGATTGAAGATTCAGTGTTCGTCAATATTCCATTAATGCTATATTCAGCGTCGCTTGATTTGTTGGACGTGACAATTGGAACTGGTTGTAATGTTGATGATGGTTGTAGGTATTGTGTTGTAATGAGTGGTGTTTGAGTGGTGGTCGATGTGGATTGTGTGGTGGACTGATTGTAGACTGGTGGGACTGCAGTGACAACTGGAACTGGTTGTAATGTTGATGATGGTTGGACGTATTTTGTTGTATAGATTGAAGATTCAGTGTTCGTCAATATTCCATTAATGCTATATTCAGCGTCGCTTGATTTGTTGGACGTGACAATTGGAACTGGTTGTAATGTTGATGATGGTTGTAGGTATTGTGTTGTAATGAGTGGTGTTTGAGTGGTGGTCGATGTGGATTGTGTGGTGGACTGATTGTAGACTGGTGGGACTGCAGTGACAACTGGAACTGGTTGTAATGTTGATGATGGTTGGACGTATTTTGTTGTATAGATTGAAGATTCAGTGTTCGTCAATATTCCATTAATGCTATATTCAGCGTCGCTTGATTTGTTGGACGTGACAATTGGAACTGGTTGTAATGTTGATGATGGTTGTAGGTATTGTGTTGTAATGAGTGGTGTTTGAGTGGTGGTCGATGTGGATTGTGTGGTGGACTGATTGTAGACTGGTGGGACTGCAGTGACAACTGGAACTGGTTGTAATGTTGATGATGGTTGGACGTATTTTGTTGTATAGATTGAAGATTCAGTGTTCGTCAATATTCCATTAATGCTATATTCAGCGTCGCTTGATTTGTTGGACGTGACAATTGGAACTGGTTGTAATGTTGATGATGGTTGTAGGTATTGTGTTGTAATGAGTGGTGTTTGAGTGGTGGTCGATGTGGATTGTGTGGTGGACTGATTGTAGACTGGTGGGACTGCAGTGACAACTGGAACTGGTTGTAATGTTGATGATGGTTGGACGTATTTTGTTGTATAGATTGAAGATTCAGTGTTCGTCAATATTCCATTAATGCTATATTCAGCGTCGCTTGATTTGTTGGACGTGACAATTGGAACTGGTTGTAATGTTGATGATGGTTGTAGGTATTGTGTTGTAATGAGTGGTGTTTGAGTGGTGGTCGATGTGGATTGTGTGGTGGACTGATTGTAGACTGGTGGGACTGCAGTGACAACTGGAACTGGTTGTAATGTTGATGATGGTTGGACGTATTTTGTTGTATAGATTGAAGATTCAGTGTTCGTCAATATTCCATTAATGCTATATTCAGCGTCGCTTGATTTGTTGGACGTGACAATTGGAACTGGTTGTAATGTTGATGATGGTTGTAGGTATTGTGTTGTAATGAGTGGTGTTTGAGTGGTGGTCGATGTGGATTGTGTGGTGGACTGATTGTAGACTGGTGGGACTGCAGTGACAACTGGAACTGGTTGTAATGTTGATGATGGTTGGACGTATTTTGTTGTATAGATTGAAGATTCAGTGTTCGTCAATATTCCATTAATGCTATATTCAGCGTCGCTTGATTTGTTGGACGTGACAATTGGAACTGGTTGTAATGTTGATGATGGTTGTAGGTATTGTGTTGTAATGAGTGGTGTTTGAGTGGTGGTCGATGTGGATTGTGTGGTGGACTGATTGTAGACTGGTGGGACTGCAGTGACAACTGGAACTGGTTGTAATGTTGATGATGGTTGGACGTATTTTGTTGTATAGATTGAAGATTCAGTGTTCGTCAATATTCCATTAATGCTATATTCAGCGTCGCTTGATTTGTTGGACGTGACAATTGGAACTGGTTGTAATGTTGATGATGGTTGTAGGTATTGTGTTGTAATGAGTGGTGTTTGAGTGGTGGTCGATGTGGATTGTGTGGTGGACTGATTGTAGACTGGTGGGACTGCAGTGACAACTGGAACTGGTTGTAATGTTGATGATGGTTGGACGTATTTTGTTGTATAGATTGAAGATTCAGTGTTCGTCAATATTCCATTAATGCTATATTCAGCGTCGCTTGATTTGTTGGACGTGACAATTGGAACTGGTTGTAATGTTGATGATGGTTGTAGGTATTGTGTTGTAATGAGTGGTGTTTGAGTGGTGGTCGATGTGGATTGTGTGGTGGACTGATTGTAGACTGGTGGGACTGCAGTGACAACTGGAACTGGTTGTAATGTTGATGATGGTTGGACGTATTTTGTTGTATAGATTGAAGATTCAGTGTTCGTCAATATTCCATTAATGCTATATTCAGCGTCGCTTGATTTGTTGGACGTGACAATTGGAACTGGTTGTAATGTTGATGATGGTTGTAGGTATTGTGTTGTAATGAGTGGTGTTTGAGTGGTGGTCGATGTGGATTGTGTGGTGGACTGATTGTAGACTGGTGGGACTGCAGTGACAACTGGAACTGGTTGTAATGTTGATGATGGTTGGACGTATTTTGTTGTATAGATTGAAGATTCAGTGTTCGTCAATATTCCATTAATGCTATATTCAGCGTCGCTTGATTTGTTGGACGTGACAATTGGAACTGGTTGTAATGTTGATGATGGTTGTAGGTATTGTGTTGTAATGAGTGGTGTTTGAGTGGTGGTCGATGTGGATTGTGTGGTGGACTGATTGTAGACTGGTGGGACTGCAGTGACAACTGGAACTGGTTGTAATGTTGATGATGGTTGGACGTATTTTGTTGTATAGATTGAAGATTCAGTGTTCGTCAATATTCCATTAATGCTATATTCAGCGTCGCTTGATTTGTTGGACGTGACAATTGGAACTGGTTGTAATGTTGATGATGGTTGTAGGTATTGTGTTGTAATGAGTGGTGTTTGAGTGGTGGTCGATGTGGATTGTGTGGTGGACTGATTGTAGACTGGTGGGACTGCAGTGACAACTGGAACTGGTTGTAATGTTGATGATGGTTGGACGTATTTTGTTGTATAGATTGAAGATTCAGTGTTCGTCAATATTCCATTAATGCTATATTCAGCGTCGCTTGATTTGTTGGACGTGACAATTGGAACTGGTTGTAATGTTGATGATGGTTGTAGGTATTGTGTTGTAATGAGTGGTGTTTGAGTGGTGGTCGATGTGGATTGTGTGGTGGACTGATTGTAGACTGGTGGGACTGCAGTGACAACTGGAACTGGTTGTAATGTTGATGATGGTTGGACGTATTTTGTTGTATAGATTGAAGATTCAGTGTTCGTCAATATTCCATTAATGCTATATTCAGCGTCGCTTGATTTGTTGGACGTGACAATTGGAACTGGTTGTAATGTTGATGATGGTTGTAGGTATTGTGTTGTAATGAGTGGTGTTTGAGTGGTGGTCGATGTGGATTGTGTGGTGGACTGATTGTAGACTGGTGGGACTGCAGTGACAACTGGAACTGGTTGTAATGTTGATGATGGTTGGACGTATTTTGTTGTATAGATTGAAGATTCAGTGTTCGTCAATATTCCATTAATGCTATATTCAGCGTCGCTTGATTTGTTGGACGTGACAATTGGAACTGGTTGTAATGTTGATGATGGTTGTAGGTATTGTGTTGTAATGAGTGGTGTTTGAGTGGTGGTCGATGTGGATTGTGTGGTGGACTGATTGTAGACTGGTGGGACTGCAGTGACAACTGGAACTGGTTGTAATGTTGATGATGGTTGGACGTATTTTGTTGTATAGATTGAAGATTCAGTGTTCGTCAATATTCCATTAATGCTATATTCAGCGTCGCTTGATTTGTTGGACGTGACAATTGGAACTGGTTGTAATGTTGATGATGGTTGTAGGTATTGTGTTGTAATGAGTGGTGTTTGAGTGGTGGTCGATGTGGATTGTGTGGTGGACTGATTGTAGACTGGTGGGACTGCAGTGACAACTGGAACTGGTTGTAATGTTGATGATGGTTGGACGTATTTTGTTGTATAGATTGAAGATTCAGTGTTCGTCAATATTCCATTAATGCTATATTCAGCGTCGCTTGATTTGTTGGACGTGACAATTGGAACTGGTTGTAATGTTGATGATGGTTGTAGGTATTGTGTTGTAATGAGTGGTGTTTGAGTGGTGGTCGATGTGGATTGTGTGGTGGACTGATTGTAGACTGGTGGGACTGCAGTGACAACTGGAACTGGTTGTAATGTTGATGATGGTTGGACGTATTTTGTTGTATAGATTGAAGATTCAGTGTTCGTCAATATTCCATTAATGCTATATTCAGCGTCGCTTGATTTGTTGGACGTGACAATTGGAACTGGTTGTAATGTTGATGATGGTTGTAGGTATTGTGTTGTAATGAGTGGTGTTTGAGTGGTGGTCGATGTGGATTGTGTGGTGGACTGATTGTAGACTGGTGGGACTGCAGTGACAACTGGAACTGGTTGTAATGTTGATGATGGTTGGACGTATTTTGTTGTATAGATTGAAGATTCAGTGTTCGTCAATATTCCATTAATGCTATATTCAGCGTCGCTTGATTTGTTGGACGTGACAATTGGAACTGGTTGTAATGTTGATGATGGTTGTAGGTATTGTGTTGTAATGAGTGGTGTTTGAGTGGTGGTCGATGTGGATTGTGTGGTGGACTGATTGTAGACTGGTGGGACTGCAGTGACAACTGGAACTGGTTGTAATGTTGATGATGGTTGGACGTATTTTGTTGTATAGATTGAAGATTCAGTGTTCGTCAATATTCCATTAATGCTATATTCAGCGTCGCTTGATTTGTTGGACGTGACAATTGGAACTGGTTGTAATGTTGATGATGGTTGTAGGTATTGTGTTGTAATGAGTGGTGTTTGAGTGGTGGTCGATGTGGATTGTGTGGTGGACTGATTGTAGACTGGTGGGACTGCAGTGACAACTGGAACTGGTTGTAATGTTGATGATGGTTGGACGTATTTTGTTGTATAGATTGAAGATTCAGTGTTCGTCAATATTCCATTAATGCTATATTCAGCGTCGCTTGATTTGTTGGACGTGACAATTGGAACTGGTTGTAATGTTGATGATGGTTGTAGGTATTGTGTTGTAATGAGTGGTGTTTGAGTGGTGGTCGATGTGGATTGTGTGGTGGACTGATTGTAGACTGGTGGGACTGCAGTGACAACTGGAACTGGTTGTAATGTTGATGATGGTTGGACGTATTTTGTTGTATAGATTGAAGATTCAGTGTTCGTCAATATTCCATTAATGCTATATTCAGCGTCGCTTGATTTGTTGGACGTGACAATTGGAACTGGTTGTAATGTTGATGATGGTTGTAGGTATTGTGTTGTAATGAGTGGTGTTTGAGTGGTGGTCGATGTGGATTGTGTGGTGGACTGATTGTAGACTGGTGGGACTGCAGTGACAACTGGAACTGGTTGTAATGTTGATGATGGTTGGACGTATTTTGTTGTATAGATTGAAGATTCAGTGTTCGTCAATATTCCATTAATGCTATATTCAGCGTCGCTTGATTTGTTGGACGTGACAATTGGAACTGGTTGTAATGTTGATGATGGTTGTAGGTATTGTGTTGTAATGAGTGGTGTTTGAGTGGTGGTCGATGTGGATTGTGTGGTGGACTGATTGTAGACTGGTGGGACTGCAGTGACAACTGGAACTGGTTGTAATGTTGATGATGGTTGGACGTATTTTGTTGTATAGATTGAAGATTCAGTGTTCGTCAATATTCCATTAATGCTATATTCAGCGTCGCTTGATTTGTTGGACGTGACAATTGGAACTGGTTGTAATGTTGATGATGGTTGTAGGTATTGTGTTGTAATGAGTGGTGTTTGAGTGGTGGTCGATGTGGATTGTGTGGTGGACTGATTGTAGACTGGTGGGACTGCAGTGACAACTGGAACTGGTTGTAATGTTGATGATGGTTGGACGTATTTTGTTGTATAGATTGAAGATTCAGTGTTCGTCAATATTCCATTAATGCTATATTCAGCGTCGCTTGATTTGTTGGACGTGACAATTGGAACTGGTTGTAATGTTGATGATGGTTGTAGGTATTGTGTTGTAATGAGTGGTGTTTGAGTGGTGGTCGATGTGGATTGTGTGGTGGACTGATTGTAGACTGGTGGGACTGCAGTGACAACTGGAACTGGTTGTAATGTTGATGATGGTTGGACGTATTTTGTTGTATAGATTGAAGATTCAGTGTTCGTCAATATTCCATTAATGCTATATTCAGCGTCGCTTGATTTGTTGGACGTGACAATTGGAACTGGTTGTAATGTTGATGATGGTTGTAGGTATTGTGTTGTAATGAGTGGTGTTTGAGTGGTGGTCGATGTGGATTGTGTGGTGGACTGATTGTAGACTGGTGGGACTGCAGTGACAACTGGAACTGGTTGTAATGTTGATGATGGTTGGACGTATTTTGTTGTATAGATTGAAGATTCAGTGTTCGTCAATATTCCATTAATGCTATATTCAGCGTCGCTTGATTTGTTGGACGTGACAATTGGAACTGGTTGTAATGTTGATGATGGTTGTAGGTATTGTGTTGTAATGAGTGGTGTTTGAGTGGTGGTCGATGTGGATTGTGTGGTGGACTGATTGTAGACTGGTGGGACTGCAGTGACAACTGGAACTGGTTGTAATGTTGATGATGGTTGGACGTATTTTGTTGTATAGATTGAAGATTCAGTGTTCGTCAATATTCCATTAATGCTATATTCAGCGTCGCTTGATTTGTTGGACGTGACAATTGGAACTGGTTGTAATGTTGATGATGGTTGTAGGTATTGTATTGTAATGAGTGGTGTTTGAGTGGTGGTCGATGTGGATTGTGTGGTGGACTGATTGTAGACTGGTGGGACTGCAGTGACAACTGGAACTGGTTGTAATGTTGATGATGGTTGGACGTATTTTGTTGTATAGATTGAAGATTCAGTGTTCGTCAATATTCCATTAATGCTATATTCAGCGTCGCTTGATTTGTTGGACGTGACAATTGGAACTGGTTGTAATGTTGATGATGGTTGTAGGTATTGTGTTGTAATGAGTGGTGTTTGAGTGGTGGTCGATGTGGATTGTGTGGTGGACTGATTGTAGACTGGTGGGACTGCAGTGACAACTGGAACTGGTTGTAATGCTGATGATGGTTGGACGTATTTTGTTGTATAGATTGAAGATTCAGTGTTCGTCAATATTCCATTAATGCTATATTCAGCGTCGCTTGATTTGTTGGACGTGACAATTGGAACTGGTTGTAATGTTGATGATGGTTGTAGGTATTGTGTTGTAATGAGTGGTGTTTGAGTGGTGGTCGATGTGGATTGTGTGGTGGACTGATTGTAGACTGGTGGGACTGCAGTGACAACTGGAACTGGTTGTAATGTTGATGATGGTTGGACGTATTTTGTTGTATAGATTGAAGATTCAGTGTTCGTCAATATTCCATTAATGCTATATTCAGCGTCGCTTGATTTGTTGGACGTGACAATTGGAACTGGTTGTAATGTTGATGATGGTTGTAGGTATTGTGTTGTAATGAGTGGTGTTTGAGTGGTGGTCGATGTGGATTGTGTGGTGGACTGATTGTAGACTGGTGGGACTGCAGTGACAACTGGAACTGGTTGTAATGTTGATGATGGTTGGACGTATTTTGTTGTATAGATTGAAGATTCAGTGTTCGTCAATATTCCATTAATGCTATATTCAGCGTCGCTTGATTTGTTGGACGTGACAATTGGAACTGGTTGTAATGTTGATGATGGTTGTAGGTATTGTGTTGTAATGAGTGGTGTTTGAGTGGTGGTCGATGTGGATTGTGTGGTGGACTGATTGTAGACTGGTGGGACTGCAGTGACAACTGGAACTGGTTGTAATGTTGATGATGGTTGGACGTATTTTGTTGCATCATTTCTTGTTTGATATTTGTTTTCATTTAATATGATTTGGTTATTTTTGTTCATTCTTGTTGTGTTATTTCCAGTTTTTTGTTCACTTTGTTTAGTTGCTTCACCTATTTCAATTTCGTGTGTTTTTTTTTTTATGTGGTGTTCGTTTGTGTTTTCTGCTTTTTCCAATATATTTTCATAATTTATCATCGTGTTTTGTTCTTCGTTTATATCGTATTCTTCATTTCTCACTTTCCAATTTAGTTGTTCCATGTTGTATGGTTTTTCATTTTCTAGCTGATTACACTTTGTTTGACTTAATTCATCAATCTGATTTCCATATATTCTATTGGATTCTTCTTTATTCATCATTATCTTATTTTGATTTGATCTGATTTTGTTCATTCTTTTATATGCTTCTTCATTACATTTTACATCCTTTTCATTTTCCTCCTGGTTTTGTTTTAATTCTTGGCATCGATTATTTACATTAGAGTTTATATTCATCTTATGACATTCATCATTATAGATTACATCTAATGGCCAACTACGTGTCATTGATTTTTGATCATTCCATTCCATTTCTTTTATATTCACAATATCCATTTCTAATGGATTGTTATTATCAATAGGATTAAGTTCATTTGTATCATAATTAATATGTGAAATTGTTTGATTCGCTTGTAAATTATCACATTCATTCAATTGTCCATTAATATAATTTAATTGTAGTAGTGTTATATAGTAATAGAGTTTCAATAAAATCATTATCATTAATATTATCATTTGTGTATAATTGAATTACAGCTTTACATTAGATAATCAGTATGATATAAAGTTGGATTTTTCCACACTTCAATATGTTTCTTCTTCTTCTTCTTCTTCTTCTTCTTCTTCTTCTTCTTCCTCTTCTTCTTCTTCTGTTTGTTTGTTTTTGTAATCAGTAATACTTATATACTAATTTTCTTGTTGCTAATATATTGTATGAACTAAATATGAAAAGGACAAATTAATCTTAAATTTACCTCATTTTATATGGAACTTAGTTGATTTACTAAATCCTTAAAAATGTACACCATTCTAGTTCTTTTATATAGACCATGGTGAGTTTTCTATGATTAACTAGTTTTAAAGGTGTCAGTTATTATTACCATTATTACCATTACTGTTACCATTACTACTAACATTATTATTATTACCACTATTATTACTATTACTGTTACTATTGTTATCACTACTACTACTACTACTATTACTACTACTATTATTATTGTAATTATTATTACCACTACTCTTTATTATTATTATTATTACTATTATTATTATTACAGTTCCATATTAATAACCTAATCCATATTAAAGTTATTGATTTAGATTAATTTCTTTTATTTCAATCAAAATATAACCGTTTTAATCCTACATTCATCATTCGTTGGGTTTGTATTTAAAAATTAAATGAAAAAAAAAGTCAACTAATAAGGTAAATCATATGTCCTTTATTAATCTTTATTCAGTAATTTCCAATGATATAACTTTTATTTAATTTCACAAGTTGAAATCATGAGCCAATTGAAGCTAGACCACCATGGAAAACCTGGAAGCACTGGAGGGCCGTTTCGTCCCAGTATGGGACTCCTCAGCAGTGCGCATCCACGATCCCGCACCCCGCGGGACTCGAACCCAAGGCCTTTGGTCTCGCGCGCGAACGCTTAACCTACTGGACCACTGAGCCGGCATCCAATGGTGATAGTGTCTAACATCAACCAATCCACGAAATTGCGCGACCAACTTCCATTGTACTGAGGTAGATACTTGTCTCTACCCAACATGGAGTAGCTTTATTCTTTATTTTAATCATTTTAATATAAGTAAAATAACTTTCAATTAAACTTTTACATTATTAGAATTGATTGGTAACATATAAAATGTACTTTGAATACATTATATATACAGTGTTGTAGTAACTAGTAGTACTAGTGAAGTGTGAGCTACTTATATACATAATAAGTAATATATAACGATCGTCAAAAAATAGAATGTAGTTCAGTAGAAGATCCAAAATGAAACAACGGGAACGGAAAGCAATTGGTATGAAAATACATGAACAGGGAAATCTGAGATGATTGATATTTTGCAAATTAACAATTTACTATATGGTTCTCAGATTTTGGTGAAATATTCTGTAATTTTGTGTCCAGATATATTCGATTGCCCCATTCGTGTTCTTGTTCCCTACACTAATAGTGACATTATCGACGAGAATAATAATAATAACAATAATAATAATAATATGGAAACGTGTACGACAATAAGAATTGTCAAAAAACAAAGGAAAGGAATTAAATTAAAGTATAATAGATGGAGAAGATGGATGAAGAATAAAAGCAATGAGATTAGGAAGAGCATTTAAATAAGGATTAGTCTCAGCATCATGGTAAAGTAGAGAAGATGAAGTGGTGAGACTATAATTTATGAACGATCTTTGAGCAACGCTGAAATGACCTTGAAAATATCCACCTACCAACTAGGAGTAAATGAGGGTTATAAACTATTGTTAGGATTTGTAATTATGATTTACAGTTGATGATTAGGGTTAGGAAATAGATTTAGGGTTTTCATCACAAACTGATATCAGATATAATGGCGAAAAAGTATTTAGCCAAATGAGTGTATGGATTTTGCGCTGAAATTCGAGACCTATTTTCTTAAATCTGATTGGCCCGTCCATAAATTTTAGTCTCGCCGAGGAAGTTACAGAAACAGAATTTTTTAGAGACAAAGAGGAAATAGAGACGAATAACAAAAAGCAAGAGAAGGAAATGATAGAGTAATTGTTTCATACAATTGTTAATTATTCATTTTTAAAAGTTGAATTTAAGCTAGGCCACCATGAAAAACCTGGAAGCACTGGAGGGCCATTTACTCCTAGTATGGGACTCCTCAACAGTGTTTATCCACAATCCCGCACGTGGGACTCGAGTCCGGGACCATCAGTTTGGAGCGCAAACTTTTAACCTCTAGACCACTGAGCCGGCATCCAACGGTATCAATGTTTAATTTCAATCGGTCCATGATCTTGCGCAACCCTTCCAGTGCTTCCAGGTTTTTAATTCTGGTTTAGTTTAGATCGACTCATGAATTCAATTATTAAAGTTATTACAATCTCCATAAATCCCCATTCCGATAATTATTCAGTTCACAAATTTATTTTCCAAGTAACAATGTTAAATCACTTTAAATGTAAACAATCAGGAAAAAAACAAATGTATTATTAACCTGTCCACAAAATGTGATAAAAGCATTTTTTATGACTGCTAAATTCGCTAAAAAATAATATACTACTATCACAACCACATACTTGTAGTTAGTGTATTAAACTTTAATTCCTCAATTCATGGAATGTAGCTAGTATGAAACTGATTACATGGATTTCATTACGTTCGGGACTCGTCAACTGGATGTACCTACATTCTAATTTTTTATGTTTACACTGAGACTCAAGCCCAATACCATTCACTCTACACGCTTAACGAATACTCCATTGAGCTACTGAGTCTAGATAGCCATGGACTTGTGCAATGGGTTAGGTTTTGAATAATTTGTAAGTTGTTCGAATCTTATGATTGTCGAAGTGAAGGACTAATTTCAAAATCAAGAGTAAACACAATACAGGTACTTACAGCTGACAAGTCTCAAATAGGTGGTTGTAATTAAACCATGTTAGCTGATTTGAACTATAAATAATCTAAAAAAATCACTTAAAATCTATATAGTAGTTACTAGTTTCATATTTATTGATTGGGCATTGATATAATATGTAAGGCTGAGAAGTAAAAAACCATATATAAACGCCCATGTACACTATATTCAACAATTTGTTTAGTTTTTGGATATAATTTTTGCCGCACTCTGGGTCTCATAAAACTTAAGTTTTGTTTAACGATGCTACTAACTTTTAGGAAGTAGTATCATAGAATGATAGAATTATAACCGGGGGAATATAGTTTGTATTTCCCTTACATTTATCTACTATTAATGAAGAGAACCTGCATATTTCTAATTCAAACTTTTTTACCGGTTTAAGATTTCCAAAAAGTTTGCCGTACAATGAATCAGTTATTATGTACGATTTATAAGTGTCTAATGGCATTTAATACAAGTGTTATAACGGTCGGATTTCTCGTCTACACGAATGGGACTTTAATTTGCCCTATATAAATATCTACACTAGATTCCCTCCCAGCGTCTGTTCTACTGGACCTCAACATAACTCAGATCTAGAACACGTGACAAGCTTGACCAGAATGTAAATACATTTCCACATCAACAAGAGACAACTATGTGACACAATACAACAACGATCAATGAGAGTAAGGATAGGAGAACATATAACTCATCTAACGCCCGTCAGATTATCTACAAGTCTGACTAAGCAAAAAGCTAATCATTATCATCCTCATCCACACATCGCTTCCCTCGTGAAGTTTGTTCCTATGACTTTACCATTGGGTCTATCTGGAAAAATCTCTTTTGTTTCTGTTCTCATGATGACCCTTAACAAGATTCTAATTTTGACTCATTTCTTCTCATTTCAACCTCGCCCAAGAAATAATGTTGGATCCTTATATGCCCAGGTTACAATTAATGTGACTAGATGGTGAGGATGAATGATATTTAATTTGAGGACATTAGCGTCTGATTCTTCAAATTTATTGAGAATCTCATTAGTAGATAACGGATCAGTAGGAAAACCAGTATCTATCAAAATTGAATTGGATTTTTGATCATCATTTGGTTCATCCGACTGTTATAAATTGCGGCCTATGTGCACTGCTAATGTGTAACGTAAGCAGTGAATTATCGATCGGGCCAATGACGCGTAAAACCTGTACGAGCAGTCTAGGGTTTTCATCACGAACTGACATCAGTTATAATATCAAAACTCTATTTAGCAAGATGTATGGATGAATTTCGCGCCAAAATTCGTGACTCGTTATCTCATATCTGATTGGTTCGTCCATAAATTATAGTCTCGCCGATACAACATTTGTACAAGATTTGGCCAAAGGTGGCTGTGAATGTGGGAGGTAGTAATTAATAGACAGGGCATAATTCACGAATGGTGAATAGTATAATAATAGTTCATAGGTCAAAATAAAGCTCATAATAAGAGGGACATGAATATGAATAATTTAGTTATTTAACAATATACGATAAAAATATAAGCATAGTACTGGTCCATAAATGGATCCCAAGAATTACCATTCTTTATACTTATCAGGACATAACACCAACATAATTTTCACATTTTTGTAAGAAATTTCATCAAAAACATGTGAGTCATTGGCATAACCCATATCTGGTAAAACAACTCTGTGTTAGGAACATCATGACATAACTCCTCTAAACACCTCTATCTTTGTATTTATATTCATGTCATTTTATAGAATTGTGACAAATCTTGACGTTTTCTCACCACCTGCCATTTTATAAGTTTAGTTAGATAGTAGATGGGCGGATTGGTCTCAATGGTCAGAATGTGGTCAAACTATGGACATGGAACCCAATCAAGGACTCGGACATGTACTAATCCAGCTCCAAAATATGGAGGTATTTATTGTACGGAAGAAAATACTGAAATTCATCCATGTTCCGTAAAATTCTGTCCTACTGATGGCGAATGGGGTGGTTGGACACCTTAGCCTGTTTGTACAGGTGTAGGTTTATGTCATAGACGAAGACGTTGTGATAGTCCACTCCCAAACAATGGTGGCAGGTCATGTGTTGGTGAAGCTGTTGAAGATGTGATGTGTGAAGGTATTCCAGTATTTGGTCACCATGGTCTCCTTGGTGTGATTATTCATCAGCATGCGGAACAGGAGGAACTCAAAATCGTAAACGAACATGTGATGATCCAACACCGTCATATGGTGGCACATCATGTCCAGGGCAAGACCTGATGGTGCGTTCTTGTAACCGTGGCCCTTGTCCAATAAGTGAAGGATGGGGGACATAGAGCCCTTGGTCTCACTGTTCACATAGATGTGGTAGTGGTCAGTGTAGTCGTACTCGTATATGAGACAGTCCGGTTCCAGCATATGGAGGTAAAGATTGTACACCAACAGGAAGTACAGAAACTTCTGAGTGTCAGTCAAAAGCGTGCCCAATTCATGGTGATTTGTGGAACTGGTCATCATGGTCAGCCTATTCGCGTACCTGTTATGTTGGACTACAGACTAGGGAACATGAATGTACTCAAGCGCCACCTCAGTTTGGTGGACGTCTATGCCGAGGATCAGCAAAAAATAAGATCGTGTGAAACTCAAAAACGTGGTAGCTCAGGATTTTGTCCAAACAATGAACTTTGACTAATTTCTGCTTGATCAGAATGGTCTTCTTGGTCGGAATATGAACCTGACTACTCGTTAGTTGGCTAAATAACGGAAGGAAGATGAATAAAACGTCGTGAACGAACATATACACTTTTATCTCCTGAAAATCAGTCAACCCATGGGTGTCTAGGTTCAGCTGAAGAAATTCAAGACTGTACACTTGATAGATAAATGTCAAGATATTCTACGTAGTGTTAACAAAGGACTGTCAACTGGAACTATTCGAGGCCAACTGAATAATCAGAACATTGGAACCATTCATCTTGATGCTAATCTGTCCACTTCTGCTTCAAATATTTCTACTAATTACGAATTCCATTTAAGTGATGTACCAATAGAACGTAGTCAATGTTCACAAACTTTAACTGAAATTTTTCTTCCTGGCACTGGGTATGCAGCAAAAGAGGTATCTGGTGCGTCTAGTGGTCATACAATTATGGATACATTGAACGGAATCACATGGGAATCAGTTGGTCAGTTTGCTGATGGCAGTACAATGCAAATGAGCCAAAGCGTATTACGATCAAATGATTCAGTTGTGTCACCTTCAAATAAATCCATTGTTCATCTGACAACGGATATTTATTTATCTGGATTTGTACATCGTCTTTAATTGATCCTAAGACAACTTCAAGTCTTGAAGTTGAACTACATGATTTTCATGAAAACCTGGTACAATTAAACCCTCAAAAAGGCATCCTGCATAGTCATTCGTCCAGAGCATTCACGGTTTATAATTTAGAGAGAGCAAAATCACAAATGGAACTTTATTCATGGATTTCTACGACCCAGATTGTTCTCAAGAGAAGACACACTTAATTACCTCAAGAAATTCATGTCAATGGACTAGAAAATAAAGCAAATTTACAAGCTGGACGAGTTGAGTTTCACACTGAAAGTATCATAAAAACAATCGAGGTTGATAAATGAATAATGAACAAGGTCAAAACGTGACTCAAGAAGAATGGATAAATTGCCCTGTTCAGAAGCTAGAATAAGTTGTATGGGCTTAACATAGTAACCGACATTACAGTCTAAGTGTTAATGGGTGTTAATTTCAATTGTTAAAACCAACCAGGTTTTTGAAATTTAATACAATGAAATTTTCTAGAAGTATTTTTAATCAAATGAATTCTCATTTTTGGCTGACCAGACTGCTGTGATGAATCTTACTATATCAGTCTGTGACGCTTGTGGCGATCGTTCTTGACTATTTCATGGTACATGGAACTAATCTGATTGTTGAAATGTATCAAACATCGAAGAATCAAGGTTCGACTTTGACTATCCAACTGATTTTGATCGATTAGACACCTGTAAATCTAATAGTGGGTGTTTTTGACTCATGAGAATCTATGATCTACCACCCTGGTTTTAGTTGACTAGTAATTTCAAGAGCAGTTGCATATTTGTAGGATGATGGGTTTGTGAGTGTCACGGAATTGATTATTAAATGTGCTGTTGGATGATTTGTAGACTATATGGTATAACAGGATAATATTTCGTTATTCAGATCAATATTATTGTATCAATTGATTATGAACGACCAGACTGATATGTGAACTTCATTGATTGTGACGTTTTTAGGTCAATATTTCTTGTATTAATCTGGTTTAAACACCATTCAATACGACAAGTGTAAATCTTCGTTCAGAGTGACATTTTTGCTCCTTCTATCAATTTGGATGAACTATGTTCAATGTGTACGTTTTTACTGTAACTACATCCACTTTCCCTTCCATGTTACACTATTATGTACACGAATCAACATATAAATAATTGTATTTCTATCTAAAGACGATGTGTTTCAGGGATTTTTCTGTGAACATGTTTCGGGAAACCAAAACGTTTTGATTACATCAGTCTTTTGCGTTCTTACTTTGTATCATTGGGAATTTCAACGGTTCCCATTTCCAAGTGTGAGCAATAAGACTATGGACGATATACATATAGTAGCGAAAATACACCAAAATAAACATCATGGATCTGAGTACTAGTAGATTAGTGAGATTGACTTTATTGTTGAATTAAATGTCTACCACTATAATATCTTTGTATTTGTTTTTTTTTTTGACAAATATTATTCAACGAAGATATACAGTCAGTGTATAACATTGAAGAAATGATAATGATTATTTGTAATGAAATTAGAATGTATCATGTGTACGATTTATAACACTGTAGATAATCCATCAATCAAAAAAGTATTTAATCAGGAATTATTTGTATTGCTGTATCTACATAAATCAAAGAAAAACATAAGTGTAGATTAGATTTGTTATTCATAAAAAATGAGATACTATTATGTGCCCATTTGAAATGATCTCAGTTTCGACTTTGTTTTTGTATTCCTTAAGAAGATATTAAACCCAACAGCCAAGAAATTGTTACGCTTTTAATGGAGTCTTAAGTGATCAACTAAAATAGAACAATCCAATTTATGTGGTCAAGATCTTTTTGATCTATTTATCACGAATTTCAACTGGATTGTTGATCATTTTTAGGTGTATATGTTAGTCATTATTGAAATCTAATGGTTTATTGTTATTATATAGGACAAAATTATTTATAAGGTAATGATAGAGATGACAGCTCCCTAAGAAGTTATTTAATTGAACACCATAATTAACGTACTAAAATTGGTAATGTTGTGATTTTAAGCCCGTCTGTATTATCGCGGGATATATTCGTCAATCGAATACGACTTATTCAAACTTAGTACTGTGCTAAACCAATGACGTTCGAGTGGTATGCGCAGCCTAGCATCCTTATTGGTCTCTTGTTCGCCTAGACCGTCCACTTGAATCCATAACGCCAATAAGAGCTTACACTATGCGAATTATTTATTTCAAACATACTTGGTTTATGTACCAGCCAAACTAGGAAATAACATTTATACAAGATCAAGCCAAAAAGTGTCTGTGAACGTGGAAGACTGTAACCAATAAAAAGAATATAAAAACTATGAAGCCTGAGATTAGGGTTTCTACAAAAATAGAACATAAATGTTCGGATTTCGTCTTTTCGAACGCATATTCTCAAACTTTCTAACTATCACTGCTACCACATTTATTTCTCGTGCATCTAGTTTGGTATGGTCAGTTCTGCTGAGTTCTAAAATATATTATTCCTCACTAACAGATTATATACTTGAGAAATAACTTGGCAGTACAATAGCATAACGGAAAGACAGCAACATTTTTGCTTCTTTCCTGCTGTTACTCATGCATGTTTAACCATTTCCTAGTACCTAGAACACATTGAGATGAATAGAAAGAGTATTGAAACTTAAATCTCAACGCATCTACATACTTTCTATAGGTTCAACAATTGGTACAGTGTTCGTCTATTACTGTTATTCTTATTATCATTGCTAATTATTGTTATCCAAATAATAAGCAGAATATTCACAGTTGAAGTGAAAATAAATCCAGTTCTTCAGAGACCAACAGTCCCAATTCTTATTTAACCTACATATTGTCTTCTGACTTTCAGTTGTAAGAAGTCAAATATCTTAATTTCGAATTCGTTGATTTAAGTGAAACCAGTGAATTTCAAGATGTTATCAACGTAACGACATTACTACGTTGCTAAAATCATTATTTCTTACATAATTAACTTACATAATTACTCACTATTCACTATAGTTCTTCAGATCAACGATAGAAAATGTTTATTAAACTAAGAGATTTGGTGTGAAAGAGTTTGTAGAGGATGGTTTGATTGATAGATGATTGGTGTCACCGACTAACATCAGTTGAATGTTCGTTAACAGGAAAAGACACATTTGTCCGATCGGTTGACACTCTTCACTCCATTCCATAAATACATACTAAATGTTTGAAATGAATGAATTTTGAATAACAAATGAAACCTGTAAAATAATCAATGCTGTATTATCAGTTAATCAACTATGTGATGAAAAACATGAAACACTTCAAAACACTTCACAATCCATCTGTGTAAATACAGAGATTTTTGTGAAAAAAATCAAGTTCATTGTCACGACAATAAGAAAATTTTCAAACATCACTACAATAAATCGAAAGAGAAAGACGAAGAAAGAGAGGATTCTGCAAAATTTCATGGATTTAATCAAAATGAAAATTAATAGACATTAAAAACTAATAGCTCATTGACAAAACGACGAAGAGCAAAGAGGGATAAACAAAACCAAAAATCTCAAGAACGACTTAAGGAAGCATTAAAATTGAATTCAATATGAGAGATATCGAAAAATCGGCCAGATGCTGCATATGTTGGTAATGCATCTCCAGGATAAGCAGCGGTGAGTGTAGTATCAGTGTTGATGATGGTGGTGGTGTTGGGCACGACTTGTGCGTTGTCGAGTAATTGTTCTGTTGTGAGTTGCGCGACATCGGTAACTGGTTGTGATGTTGGAGATGCAGATGTTGGTTGTGTGGATTGTGCAGTGGTGAGTGTAGTCTCAGTGTTGATGATGGTGGTGGTGTTGGGCACGACTTGTGCGCTGTCGAGTAATTGTTCTGTTGTGAGTTGCGCGACATCGGTAACTGGTTGTGATGTTGGAGATGCAGATGTTGGTTGTGTGGATTGTGCAGTGGTGAGTGTAGTCTCAGTGTTGATGATGGTGGTGGTGTTGGGCACGACTTGTGCGTTGTCGAGTAATTGTTGTGTTGTGAGTTGCGCGACATCGGTAACTGGTTGTGATGTTGGAGATGCAGACGTTGGTTGTGTGGATTGTGCAGTGGTGAGTGTAGTCTCAGTGTTGATGATGTTGGTGGTGTTGGGCACGACTTGTGCGTTGTCGAGTAATTGTTCTGTTGTGAGTTGCGCGACATCGGTAACTGGTTGTGATGTTGCAGATGCAGATGTTGGTTGTGTGGATTGTGCAGTGGTGAGTGTAGTCTCAGTGTTGATGATGTTGGTGGTGTTGGGCACGACTTGTGCGTTGTCGAGTAATTGTTCTGTTGTGAGTTGCGCGACATCGGTAACTGGTTGTGATGTTGGAGATGCAGATGTTGGTTGTGTGGATTGTGCAGTGGTGAGTGTAGTCTCAGTGTTGATGATGTTGGTGGTGTTGGGCACGACTTGTGCGTTGTCGAGTAATTGTTCTGTTGTGAGTTGCGCGACATCGGTAACTGGTTGTGATGTTGGAGATGCAGATGTTGGTTGTGTGGATTGTGCAGTGGTGAGTGTAGTCTCAGTGTTGATGATGGTGGTGGTGTTGGGCACGACTTGTGCGTTGTCGAGTAATTGTTCTGTTGTGAGTTGCGCGACATCGGTAACTGGTTGTGATGTTGGAGATGCAGACGTTGGTTGTGTGGATTGTGCAGTGGTGAGTGTAGTCTCAGTGTTGATGATGTTGGTGGTGTTGGGCACGACTTGTGCGTTGTCGAGTAATTGTTCTGTTGTGAGTTGCGCGACATCGGTAACTGGTTGTGATGTTGGAGATGCAGATGTTGGTTGTGTGGATTGTGCAGTGGTGAGTGTAGTCTCAGTGTTGATGATGGTGGTGGTGTTGGGCACGACTTGTGCGTTGTCGAGTAATTGTTCTGTTGTGAGTTGCGCGACATCGGTAACTGGTTGTGATGTTGGAGATGCAGATGTTGGTTGTGTGGATTGTGCAGTGGT